TTCATTCATTTCGACTAGAAATACGATTAGAAATAATTTTGGTCTTTCCTTTGTCTTCTGCTCTTCTTTGGGATTGTTTCTCTGGTGAGGAACCAAATGTAGTCTCCCAACATTCTTTCATCCCAATATCCTTGATAGCGCTGCTCAATAGTTTTTATATCATGGTGAAACCTTTCGACGTGTTCGTCACTTACATCGCCAAGATTCTCCGGGGAAAAAATCCAAGTGAGAATGTAAAAAATGAATTTTGAGCGACATATTTACGCCTGGTGAAATTAAAATTGAAATTAAATGTACAAATTTTTCCATTTTGTCAAATCAAATAGAATAACAATATGTATTCGATACCCATTTTTGCATAATTTATTAGCAAATCTTCAACAACTTCCTTATAATTCATGCTCTGCCGAACCGAACAGAAGCCCTAAACTATTGAGCAGCGACGGATGTTGGGATGAAAGAATGTTGGGAGACTACATTTGGTTGCTCATCAGAGAAACGAATCCAACGAATAACAGAAGACAAAGTAAAGACAGAAATTAATAAAATAAATGTTTCCTACATGAATAGGAAAAAAATACAAAAACAGAGTAAAATTGGAATTTTTGTACCTTTACTCAATTGTATTTATCCATATTCCGGTATTTATCCATAGATTTTCTTTAACAAAAGCTTGTTTTCTTTGTAAAAGTGCGATCTATATGTAGACAATAAGAAACTGGACATAATTTGACAATTTATATTTTTCCATGGCGATGGAAGAAATATTCGTGTTCTATTTTAGCCGAAAAGATCAAAGTTTCTCATATATATTGGCTCGTAACACTTGAACTCTTGAACCGATTGGAAAATAATATAAAAAACAATTGTTGGAAATTCGATTACCTTTAAAATAGCGTCTTGTGCGACCAAATCGGACGTTTCTAACTCGATATATGGCCTAAAATGTGAACGTACCTCAGAAAAAAATCGAAAAAAGATTCAAAAATTCATATAAAAAAAACCTATCTATAGAAAAAAATTTTCTTATGATTTTCGAGTTTAGTAGGCCAAAATACATAAGAAAAAAATTGTGGCATTGAATCTATCAGGCTGTCCCAAAAGTTTTTTTTGCTTTATTAATAAGTAATACATTCACAATATTTTATGTTTTATGTAACATTACTGAATTGTGCACGATTCATTTTCCTCCATTACTGTTACAGCATCGATATGAATGAAATTAGATTCTCTATTTATATAAACACTGCCACGCAAAATAATCGAGCGCAACACCCGAAAGAAACTCTCAGGACAACCTAATACATTTCTTTTTATTTTATTTTGTAAACTAGTGTTACTTTTCATAATTACAGTGGGTGTAGAAAGTATTCGTACACTGATCAATTTTCAAAAAAACTATGTAAATTTGTAATTTATTAACTTATTTTTTATGAACAATGACATTCTACATATTCAAGGAAATCTGTAGAATAGATGGATTACAAAAAGAAATAGCTATTTATGTAAGTTTCTAAAATAACAAGAAAAAAACAATGAATTAATAGAAATGTTGAAGCAACAAGTATTCGCACAACTGTTTGATTTTTAAAACTTCATTAAAAAGAAAAGGATATATATATTATATTATAAGTATATAATACTTCCTTCGTAGGGATTTCCTTTTGATTTTACATTTATTGCAAGTCTTCGAAGCATTAAATTGACTAAATTATTAGTTATTCGAAGTGGTATCTTCTTCAATTTCTCTATAAGAACTTTTTTTAAAAGTACTTTACTGGAAATTTGATGTTTTCTAATTCGTACGGAGCAATAAACTAATATGTTTACATTAAAAAACTCTACTGTAAATGGTTCGTCATAAGAATCGTACAAATACTTATTGCTTCTATACATTTACCCACTTTTCCCATTTTTTTGTTAATTTCACAAATTATATTAACTAGTAAATGTTGTTTGGACTATATCCATCTTACAGATTTCTGAGAATATGTAAAATATCATTGATTATAAAAAAAGAAGTTAAGAAACTACAATTTAACACAAAAGCTTTTTGGGAAATTGATCGGTGTACGAATACTTTCTACACTCACTGTTTGTGAACAAATTACTAACTCGTGAATACTTGGAACAGCTGTGGCCAGTCTGGAGAGGAACGGTGACGAAACCGCCGCGTGGAAAATTATTTTACATTCCACAACGTCCCTACATGACGTTGGGTACCCTGAGGGATCAAGTGATCTATCCTCACACAAAGGCGGAGATGGTGAGGCGCGGACAAATGACGGACGACGATTTGAAGAAACTGCTGGACTTGGTTCAGCTGGGTCACCTTCTCGAAAGAGAGAACACCACGAATTCCGGAGGAGCTTGGGATGTCGTGGCAGACTGGATAGACGTCCTGTCGGGTGGCGAAAAGCAACGCATAGCTGTAATACTTTGCTTTCTCTAGATATAATACACGATGTACCGTGCACACTATAACATGGCTTTATTTTTACACAGATGGCTCGGTTGTTCTATCACAAGCCTCAATTTGCGATTCTGGACGAATGCACGAGCGCCGTAAGCGTGGACGTTGAAGACTCCATGTACTCTTATTGTAGGCAGGCGAATATTACTTTGTTTACGGTTTCGCATCGTCGATCCCTTTGGAAACACCACGAGGTACAGCAGAGTCTTTATTTCTTATTTTAGAATGTAAAGTATCCTACACCGTCTAATTTTTCTTTTACCATTTCTGGCGACCAGTACTACCTGCAAATGGACGGAAGGGGAGGATTTGAATTCAAGCCGATCGAGGCCGACACCGAAGAATTTGGCTCGTGAATTTTGATGTCCCTTGCGTTTGATGATGCTTGCCGAAATGCAAGGGACGGTCACGTCGTATTCCAATAAATCTAAAGTAATTGAATGTCGATTCGCTGCGTCGTGTACGACGTCGCACATGCAGTGTACAGCACTATGTATGTATTATATGTATTGTTGTTAAAATTGCACAAAATTTCCGAGTATTGTGTATATTAATATTTTAAAGATAGCGCATAATAACTGTATATTTTGATAACGATATTTTTTTATAAAGAAACATGAAAGCCGTGAAACCGTTACCAGTACACTGCGATATAGGCCTTAACGTGATATGTTTCCACGAGTATACTTAACACGTTGATCGCCACGTCACCTATATGTGGGTGACAGTGCTTTTCACTGAAGAACTAAAAATATTAATTGTAAAAGTTAAGCTTCACAGGAAATGAACTTAAGTGAAATTCGTGTATTTTGATGAAGTTACAAAAATAAATACCACGATGGATGTTAGATTGTGTAGTCTCCAATAGTTTCAATAATATTTAATTCTAGCAGAAATTTTCAAGAGTATTTCTATGGCAGTCAACGTGTTAAACGTTAACGTGTCGATACATGTTCTTCCAGTACGGGAGTGGGGCGAGTAGAGGAGTATCATTTTTTTGAGGGATTGTAAGATTAAGCTGGCGTTCGACTAAAGCAACGTATTTTTGATACTTGATGATTTTTTCATTCTACGATCTGTAGGTAGTGAACGTTAAACATATTCTCGTTCGTTACGATATTCAAACGTGCATATATTAATATATAAATATATATATACATATATATACATATATATATATGTCGAAACATTCAGACGCGAAGGAAGTACATGAATACGAAATGTGTATACGAAAGGAAGTAGTCGAAATCATTTTTCTACTTTAAGAATATAATTGTGATTCGTTATGTGTAGATCACATTGAATAGGCATTGCCAGAACAATATATTCGATTGCTGGTCAATAAAAATGCGCAATAAAATTAAAACACCCACGTGAAATGTTCATCCGACACTCGATGTTACGTTATTTTCAGGTATTGAATTCATCTTGAAGTCGCATTCGACTTCAACTGTATAGAAATAGTGTTGGCTTGGTAAATTTTATCAAGTTTATATTAATTTATTTTCAATATCTCAATTAAAGTAATATTGATCACGTGTATAATTTAGGATTTTTGAATTATTTTGTTACAGGAGTAATTTTTTGTTGCTTCGTGAGGGGAAATTATTAGTGCTTTTGAAGTGTAAGATGTAATCAATTTAAAGAATAATGTAATCGAATGGGGGTTTAAGAACTGAATAGAGACGTAGCGGTCTGGGTTAGGTCTGAGTTAGGTCTGCTTTTATTAACATTATTATTAATAGTGCTTTTGAAGTGTAAGATATAATCAATGTAAAGAATAATGTAATCGAATAGGGGTTTAAGAACTGAATAGAAACATAGTGGTCTGGCTTAGGTCTGAGTTAGGTCTGCAGGTTAAAGAGTAATAATAATACAATCAAATGGCAGTTCTATAACTACATACAAACATAGCGGTCTGAGTTAGGTCTAGGTTAGGTTTAAATGTTAAAGGGTAACAGTAATACAATCAAATAATGGTTGTACCATGTAATACAAACATAGAGGTCAATATCTTAAAGAATAATAATAGTATAATTAAATAAGAATGTGACCACGTGATACAAGCATAGAGGTCTACATTGTACAGAGTAACAGTAATACAATCAAATTGCAGTTTCAAACTTAAATACAAACATAGAGGACAATATTTTAAAGAATAATAATAATATAATTAAGTAAAAATATGACCACGTGATACAAGCATAAAAGTCTACATTTTATAGTAATAATAATACAATCAAATAATGGTTTCACTATTATGGTACTATCACATAATACAAACATAGAGATCTACATTTCAAAGCCTACATAACAATCCTACAATCAAATGCTTCAAGCACATAATAAACCCAGAGATTATCCAAAGATACCAACTTCTCCATTATCAGATACGCATAAATCCCATCCAATCCTCCACCCAAAATTAATTCCCTTAATCTCCATCTACAAAATCATCATTCAAACATCTCCGCCTAATTCTCCGCCATTTTCGCATCCAAAACGCGCGCGCGTTGCGCCCGCTACAAGTAATGGCGCCTCGCCTTCGGTCCGCCATGTTGGTTGACCGTTGATCGGCCGGGTTCTGGGAACCTAGCAGAAGTCCGGGGCTATCGGCTATTCAGTTGCTGGGACGCGAGTCGCAGGGATCGAGTGGCCGAGGCTCGTGTGCGTAGTGCGTGCGAGGCAGATAAGAATAAAGAAGGTTGCAAGAAGAAGAAAAAGAAGAATAAAGGAGGTAGACTCATCGACGTACGTGTGGATCGGGGGCGTGAAGTGGCAAGAAGAAATAGTGTGTGCTAGTAAATTGTTAGAATAATATTCGCGATATTAGCGAGAAATATTCTCGATATCGGCGAGAAATAGTCGAAAGAATCTATTGAAACTCGAGGAATCGGGAGAAAAAGAATTGCTCGTCCACAATCCGCAATCGAACAACTCCCCTCCCCTCCCTTACTCCCCTCCCGTACTCCCCGCTCTGTCCCTTTCTCCACCTTTTCACCGTGTCCGTTTCTCTCTCTCTCTCTCTATCTCTCTCCTAGTGTCTCTCCTCGTGGCGTGCGCATTCCCGAAGACACCGCGATCGGTCCTTGCTCGCTACTGCGCTCGTGGAACGCGAGGAGCGCGTCTCGGTACAGCCAGGACGCCGGGAAGCACAGGTGCAAGTGCGGGTGCGGGTGCGTGGCAGTTTCATACATCGTGTAGTATAAAGGACGTGTACAGTCCGTGATAGACGCGAGCTGGAACAAAGTAGGTGCGCGAAGTCGTCCGACACGGTTGGAAAGGTGTCGTTGGCGGTTGCCGTGGCAGAATGGACGGTAGCGCAGGGCCGCCGTCGGACGTGACGACGGCAATGGGAAGTGAAAACGACGAAGGATCGAAGGTGCGACGAGACATCGAGGATACGACCGCCTCTTCCGCGGCTGGTTCGAGTGCGGCTACGTACGCTACGTCGCAGCAGGAGTATCGCGCTCAGGGCTCGATAAGGGCCGGCTCCGCATCTCCGCTCCCTGCGGCCTCGTCTTCGTCGTTGTCCTCTTCCTCCTCCTCCTCCGCCTCGTCCTCCTCCTCTTTCGCCTCGTCGTCGCCGCCGCAGCCGGGGTGTGGCTGCGTCGCCGCCGCTGTCCTCGAGCCCGACGAAATTACCATCAGCATCACACCGACCACCGGTGGACAGTTCGATCTCACTATTGATCGCACCGACACCGTCGAGAACCTTAAGAAAAGCCTCTCCAAGAGGCTCAAGGTCGCCAAGGAACGCATTTGTTTACTGCATCGCGATAGGTTCGTATTATCCATCGAAATAATTGTATCTAGAGACGAATTGATTTCGAGTTAGAATCAGGAGACTCTTTTCGTTTAAACGTAGCGTGTATCGTTTAACTTTATCGCAGCGAACGTGGTCGCGAGCGGTGCGCCGCGTACCGCTCTGAGGAATCTTGAAAAAGAATAACGCTCAGCTGATGTACTCGTACGCGATGATCATCCTTCGGATCTCTGGTTATAAGAGATCCTTTTTATAACAGTATATGTATATGTACGCGACGCAGGTGATGCGTTCGATCTTTCCCATCGAAATTTCAGTTGTTCGTTTCTCTCTCCGTGGGAGGAGAGAGAGAGAAGAAAAAAGAAAGACGGCAGGTTAGTTGCCGTGCACGGCGTTGAGGTTCGAGAGAGAGAGAGAGAGAAAAGAGCGGCGATGCGACGCGAGAAAAGGAGAGAGTGGGCATAATATTCGTAGGCGTCGTGGGGGCCGATCCTCCTTCGCATGAGATATATATATATATATATAGCGCGATGTACAGGGTGTCCTAAAAATGTTGTACCACCTTGAAAGGGGTGGTTCAGGAGGTGATTTCAAACTTTTTCCTCCCGAACCACCCCTTTCAAGGTGTTATAACATTTTTGCGACACCCTGTATATACAGGGTGGAGGTGATTTGAAACAACTTTTTCCTTAGCGAAAATGTTGTCCGAGGTTTTATTAAGTAGATATTAACGGAAATCCCCGGACCAATCAGAGCGCTCCATCAACATTCTCGGATTGGACAATGTTTTTCCGTTAATATCTCCTCAACGAAACCAGGGACAACATTTTCGCCAAGGAAAAAGTTGTTTCAAATCACCTCCCAAATCACCCTTTTGAAGGACTTCTAATATTTTTGGGACACCCTGTATGTACAGAGTGGAGGTGATTTCAAACAACTTTTTCCTTAGCGAAAATATTGTCCGAGGTTTCGTTAAGAAGATATTAAGCGAAAACCCCGGACCAATCAGAGCGTTCCATCGGCAATCTCGCGCGCTGATTGGTCAATGTTTTTCCGTTAATATCTCCTCAACGAAGCCTGGGACAACATTTTCGCCAAGGAAAAAGTTGTTTGAATACACCTCCCGAACCACCCCTTTCAAGGACCTCCACCATTTTTGGGACATCCTGTATAGCGGAGAGGAAGGTTGGCATACCATAGACTCGGGAGTAGGAGGTGGCGGAGGTGGTGTAGTAGGTAGAATATCTCGGGAATCGCGTTCTCGTAAAGTGGAACAATGACAGCGTGATGTAGAAGGAGGAAGAGAAACAGTTGAACGGAAAAGACGACGGCGACGGGGCCGGCTATTCCCGTACGCAACACATCGCTGGAATTTTCTCTCTCTTCATCCCTCCTCCTTTCGCCGTCCCTCTCGCTGTCTCTCTCCCGCCCTCTCCTTTTCTCATTTGATTCTCCTCGCTCGCGAATTTCCGGATGATAACCTCGCGTAAAGATTAACCTTTTCGACGAGGGACGATTTTCTATGGAAATTCTAAGGGGTCGGGACGTCGGCAGGAACGCGGTCGTAAACATAAGCGCCCCGCGCACGCGAACGACATTTTCAAATTCGTCGAATGAATTTTTTAAGGACATCTTGTAGGGAATGGCGACACATCGGTTTTAAGAATGCAGGTCTCTGAATAATGAACATTTTGGATCGAAACTTTTTTCATATATGTAGTGAGTTTTTCTCTAAATTGAAATCCAAATTTTTTATAAATAAAAGGAAAATCTTGTTAAGAATTCGCTGGAGGGTAACACAAAATTGCCCGTAAAATTTATTTTTCACTTCCTCGGTCGAAATGAAGTATATTTTGTTAAATAACATGTGGGCGTAACTTTTGTTGTTTACGAGAAAAAAATTCCGAACGAATAGAAGAAAAATGGTTCGAAAAATAAAAAGTGATCCTTTGAAAAAATGTTTTAAACAAAAGTTGTAGATATCGATGAGATATGAAATTGTTATCAAATATTAAAAGGTACCGATTTTGATTAACTTTTTACAGAGTTGATGATACTATTAACAAATGGAAGCAATTTTTGCTGAAATGCAAGACATTTTTTTATATATTTATATTTTTTTAAATATACAAGGTGTCCCAAAAATATTAGAAGTCCTTGAAAAGGGTGATTTGAGAGGTGATTTGAAACAACTTTTTCCTTTGCGAAAATGTTGTACGAGGCTTCGTTGAGGAGATATTAACGAAAAACACTGACCAATCAGAGCGCGAGTATGTCGGTGGAGAGCTCGCGGTAGCGTATGAGCGCGGGCACCTAGCGCGTAGCCACGCCTACTGCTGGCGCTCCACTGGCATACTCGCGCTCTGATTGGTCAGTGTTTTCCGTTACTATCTCTTCAACGAAGCCTCGAACAACATTTTCGCTAAGGACAAAGTTGTTTCAAATCACCTTCCGAACCACAGGCCCTGCAAAATTTTTGAACCCGGCCCCGCAAAAGGTCACGCCGGCTCTGCGTGCTACCATTCGTGTGTCATCGCGATTCTCATACCTGTCTGTTAGTCATCCTCGTTGCACGTAGAAGGAGTGACTTTTTCTCGCCGATGGCCATCCGTCGGGGACACGTTGAATCTCGAGTACGTCTCGTAAGATAGAGGTCATCGGTTATTACTAATAAATTCTTAACAAAGTTTACGGTCCAAATTCGGATTACTCGCGTCATCGTGCACCAGAACGGATCGAAGCTGCGTTTTATTTATCGACGCTTCGATGTATCAAAATAATTCGAGTTTATCGACCGCGGAATTTCGATCGGTCCTCCGAACGTCGTTTTACAATTGAGAAATATCTCGCGGATAATCGACGATTTCGCGCGGCTAACCGAGAACGAGGGTTCGAAGCAAACAAGGGGCCGCGATATAGTGGCTTGACCTCAGGAACGATAGCAAGGAGAGAACAATATTTATAGTACCGCAGACAAGAATGTCCCTGTCCTATCTTACGTTATGTATTTATATTTGCCTCGTTTTAGACGTCGCTTATTCTTAGAACGTTCGCGTGGCCATGCTTTTCTCTCTTTCTCATTCATATCGGTCCCCGACGCCTAAAATATACGCGGCACGGCTTTCGATTTTTCCAAAGTTTCAAATGTCACGGTCTAGCCGATTGCTACGCCCCTTTCACGTTTTACGGGACACGCAACGAGTGACTGCTATGTCCAAACAAAACGTTTTGTTTTCGTCGATCCGTCGCAGTGCGATAAGCTTCCCAGAAACAAATCCTTCTGACGAATCTACAACTTTAACCTTACGACTGTACAACTTCACCGCAGGGTCTACAGGGCCGTATTAACGACGTCGAGGGGCCTCGGGCAAATCGGTACAATAAATCATTCGTTAAAATTTTTAGATATTGCAGACAGGTTCGTAAGAGGCACGACGTTAATTTTTTTGAATTTCTCATTGCCTAGGATTCTATTTGTAAACTATATTCAGGGCTGTATTAAGAACGTTGTGGACCCTTGGAGAAATGAGTACACATTTGGTTTTTCATTAAAATTTCATTTTGACAGACGGGGTCGTAGACAGGGCTGTACGAGCACGCTGGGTAGTTATTTGGGGCGCCACAAACCAAGAGGCACCACGCTAATTTTTTTTTTCATTTGTCATTGCTTGCTTGGAATCTTCTTTTATTTTAGTCTAGATTATATAAAGAAAATAAATTTAACAAAAGGCCTAGCGCATTTATTTGCTCAGAGGGTCAGGATGTAGTTAATACTGCCCTGATAGTAGGATCAATTTTAGCGACAAATACGTCAAATTTAACTTTTCATAAATTAGCACAGGACTCTTCAATATGCGAAATAAATAGGCTTGTCATGAAAATTTTAGGGCATAGTTGAAAATCACTCGTGAATTTCAAGTTTGGTTCGAGATTATTATCACGAGTCAGACTCGTGATTTTCAAAATTGGACTAAGATTGTCATCACGAGCCAGACTTGTGATTTTCAAGTTTGGTTCGAGATTATTATCACGAGTCGGACTCGTGAGAATACTGCAAGAGGTTAAAGACACTATTTTCAATTGCACGCAAAAATACAGTGTGTCCCAAAAATGTTGGAGGCCTTTGAAAAAGGTGGTTCGCTTCGTTACGATTTACGTAATTGTCAATAGTTTATCTCTCGAAAGCATGGCCATGCAGATTCGTAATTACTCGAAAATGATAACCGAAAATTGCAAGGATGTAACAGGGATCGAGATTAATTAATTAAAATTATGTGTTTGAAACAATTTTTTCCTTAGCGAAAATGTTGTTAGAGGCTTTGTTGAGAAGATATTAACGGAAAACCCCGGATCAATCAAAGCGCGAGCGTGCCGGGGGACCGTCCGCGGTAGGCGTGGCCTACGCGCTAGGCGACTGCCCTCCGCCGGCATACGCACGGTCTGATTGGTCCGGGGTTTTCCATTCTTATCTCCTCAACGAAGCCTCGAAAAATATTTTCGCTAAGGAAAAAGTTGTTTCAAATCACCTCCCGAATCACCTCCTTCAATGTGTTACAACATTTTTGGAACACCCTGCATACACAGGGTAGAGGTGATTTGAAACAACTTTTTCCTTAGCGAAAATGTTGTCCGAGGCTTCGTTCAGGAGATATTAACAGAAAACCCCGACCAATCAGAGCGCTCCAACGGTATACTCGTGCTCTGATTGGTCCGGAGATTTCCGTTAATATCTCCTCAACGAAGCTTCGTACAACATTTTCGCAAAGGAAAAAGTTGTTTCAAATCACCTCCCGAACCAGCCCTTTCAATGACTTGCAACATTTTTGGGATATCCTGTATATCACGTAATACCAAATCCAGTAATACGTGCAACAATTGTATGTAATCTATATATTCTATATATACAAACCGTACACAAAAGTTGGAAAACCATCATTGAACCACCATTGACTACTCGTGGTAAATTTAGTATTAATATCATCTAGTGTGTCGTCATCATAGCGTCATTAATGTCTATTCGTCATCATTCATCATTTTCTATAATACAAGGTCTTATACATCAAATATTGACTACTTTACATGAAAATATTTACGTGCATGAGTACAAAAATATAACTGCTACCCTAAATCCTTCTTTATTCTTAAGATCACAAAAGAGCTTCAAATCCTGGATCGTTTCTCCATCGCTTTTTAGTAACAAACACCACCAAAGTATTTCTCCCTATGGAAGTGAAATTCCCGGAGAGGAAGTTGCACAACAACTTCCGCGTTATGCTAAGTCAATATCAATTTCTCGTGTGCCATTCGCGGCATGATAGGATGTCGACTGTCGCGATACCGTGGCTTATCGTATTGCCTAATCTCTCGGATTGTGTCGTTATCGTTCCTTTTTCTTTTTGTCTCTGTGATCACGATGACGTACAATCGGTACAATGTCATCGAGTTGTCCTCGGATCGCTTCGTTACGATTTACGTAATTGTCAATAGTTTATCTCTCAAAAGCATGGCCATGCAGATTCGTAATTACTCGAAAATGATAACCGAAAATTGCAAGGATGTAACAGGGATCGAGATTAATTAATTAAAATTATGTGTTTGGGGTTTTTGTCCAGGCTTTCCTAAGTAAGATGGCCGCGTCATGTTTTGCACGATAAAAGACGAACCGTCTTCAATCATTGTTACTCTATAATAATTTTAGTAATCGTTAGTCTATAATATAATTTCTCTGAATATTTTCATTCCGTCGAAGAATGATCGCGCGAACGCGTGGAACTCTTAGAATTACGTTATCAACTAATAATTTTGCAATTGATGTTCCAGGCAATTGCGAGAGGGAACGCTGGAGGAAAATCGTTTACAAGATGGCAGTCGTCTCACGTTGTTACCGAGCGTAGAAACTGGCTTGCTGGTAAGTCGTATTTTTTACGAGAAAGGGCTCGATTTCCTTTTACAGGAGTCAATACTTAGCCAGAAATTCGATTCTTTCGTGTTACTACGCCTTAGAATCACAATTTTAAGGAGAATCCTAAAATATCACGAGTTGATTTCCTTGAAACTATTTTATTTTCAATGGATGAAGAGTTATCGGTCGATAACCGTTATCGGGTCGGGTTACCGACCGGTAAATGTGATTAAACGTAATAATTTTCGTTTTTACAACGTGTAATAATTACCTTACCTATTGGAAATGTTCTCAAATTAATATTTATGATTTCATGATTTGTTGCAAAAATTCAATTTTAGGGAAAAGGGTCTTTTAAGTTTTCAATTTTTATCTATGAAACTAGACGTCGTATGAATAAACCGTAAATATAAAAAAAGTTGCATTTTGTCATTCTCTATAAGGAGATATTTTTTTTAAATTCGATCGTTCGAGTGTTGTTTTTTTTTTCTTTAAGACAACAAGGACAGAAACAACATCTTATAACCTTTCAATTTTTATTTTCGAAACTAAACATCCTATGAATAAACTGTAAATAGAAAAAAGTTTCTTTTTATCATCCTCTATAACGTGATATTTTTCTCAAATTCATCAAAATAAGTATTTGAAAATTAACGATGATTTCATTTTTACTATTGCAAGTGTAATTGAATTCAGAGAAAAAAGATCTTCCAAGTCTTGAATTTTTATCTCTGAAACTAAATGTCCTATAAACAAACTGTAAATACAGAAAAGTTTCGTCTTAACATTCCCTATAATGTGGTATTTTTCTCAAATAAGTAATTGTCAACTAACAATGCATTCACTGAAAATATAATGGAATTCAGAGAAAAAAGATCTTCCAAGTTTTGAATTTTTATCTCACAAACTAAACGTCCTATAAAGAAATTGTAAATACAAAAAAGTTTCGTCTTAACATTCCTTATAAGGTGGTATTTTTTTCTAATCCGTCAAATAAGTAATTGTCAACTAATGATACTTTCAGTTTCACCATTGCAAATGTAATAGGATTCAGGAGCAAAAGGTCTTCTAAGTTTTGAATTTTTATTGTGAAAACTAAACGTCCTATGAACAAACTGTAAATACAGAAAAGTTTCGTCTTTTCATCCCCTATAAGGAGGTATTTTTTTTAAATTCACACCAGCAAAAATCGTCCCGCAGTCGATAGCCCTCTCGGTCGGTAATACGTCAAGGCGTGTTTATTTCGTCGTATCTGCGATCGCAGGCCAGATATCGCGTCGTGGCTCGTCTCGAAAACCGTTCGTCGTCGCGGAGGATGTGCTCGCAAACAGGAATTCTCCCAAGAGTAGCAGAAAACGTACGCGATCGGGACAAACGCCGTTAACTCTGCCCGTTCGTGTATCATCGGGTCACTTGGTTTCTCGGTCATCATCGTATCGTGCTTTATTTTCCGGTGCTATTGCGTGTCGCGTATTCTTTTTCTGACGATCGCTGGACGTCGCCAACAGTAACGAGCGTAATTCCGTCGTACGTCTTAGTTCACGATTTCGTCGTTTACTGTCCAATGAAACGGTACTCGTGCACTGGTGAACTCTTCTCGATACCTCGCACCAGAAAGAGGAACGTGCGTTAACACTTTCAGTGCCGGACATACGAGTCTAAAATGTTGTTCTTGTACACGGAGTCGGTTGCACAATTTGCGGGGACCCTCGTTCAAAAGGCGCTGGAAACAAATGGCGTTGATGGTTGTTAATCTGCATAATTTTTAAAAATGTGTTGTTCTCTTAATAATGAATGTTTCGAATTGAAAATTTTTTTCCTTTGAGATCTCGTCGAACTCTATAAAAAAGATATAGAAAGTTTTTCTCTAAAGTAAAAATCTAATTTTTTTAAAATAGAAGAAGCATTTTTTTGAAGACTTTCCAAGGGGACCCCTGCCAATTTTAGTAAAAATCTAAAATTGTCTATAAAAATTATTTTTCACTTCTTCGGCCAAAATGAAGTATGTTTCGTTAAATAACACGTAGGCGTAACTTTTATTGTTTACGAGAAAAAAATTCCGATAGAAAAGAAGAAAAATTGTTTGAAAAAAAAGTGATCCTTTGAAAAAATGTTTTAAACAAAAGTTGTGCATGTCGATGAGATATGAAATTGTTGTCAAATACATTTTGTCGAGAAACGAATATTTCTCGAGATATTTCTGTAGAACGTTAACACCTTTCACTATCGAATTTTTTTCTCGTAAATAATAGGAGTCACGAATAAATCCGTAAATATAAAAAAATTTCGTCTTGTCATTCCCTACAAGAAGACATTTTTTAAAAATTAATTTGGCGAATTTAAAAATTCCACTCCAGTTGTGCGGGGCGCTCGAACTGCGATCGCGTCCCTGTCAGCGAGCAAGCCCCTTCGAATTTTCACGTTTCCAAAAATCGTTCCTCGGTGATAACGCCTATGAAAAGTCACGTCACCCATAAACGGGTGACGTGGCGATGAACGTGTTAAAGGATATAACTCCGCGGTTATCCGATTTGAATCGATAAAAATAAAGCTCGCCATGGTGCACGCGCATAAGTACAAAGGATACGGTCCTCTCTCCCTCGCCCCTCTCTTTCTCTTTCGTCGGAACAGAGTCTAGGCAGTGCTGGAGGCTCTGGCAACAGCGCATCTCGGGTCCTTATCGCGACCGAGCTCGTTCGCATGGCTGTCAAGGGGACCGCCCGTTCGAGTCTCGGTCACCCGCAGTCAATTTTAAAGTGTGCTCATGTGTAGGTATATGTAGCGAGGCTCCGGCCACGATCACCGCTAACCGGATATATACAAGGTGTCCCAAAAATGTTGTAACACCTTGAAAGAGGTAGTTCGGGAGGTGATTTGAAACAACTTTTTCCTTAGCGAAAATGTTGTCCGAGGCTTTGTTAAAGAGATATTAACGGAAAACTCCGGACCAATCAGAGCACGAGTATACCGTCGGAGCGCTCTGATTGGTCGGAGTTTTCTGTTAATATCTCCTCAACGGAGCCTCGGACAACATTTTCGCTAAGGAAAAAGTTGTTTCAAATCACCTCCCGAATCACCCCTTTCAAGGTGTTGCAACATTTTTGAGACACCCTGTATATACGTATTCTTTCGTGGGTGGTTACGGGGAAACGGGGCGAGACCTACGCCAGTTTCGCACGGCACAGTTGATCGGCCCGATCGCTTCTCTCCGCCTCCCAATCGACACGCATCTCGAGTTCCTTTGGCTCTTTCGTGTTTCCTTTGTATCGTATACCTTCTACGCGGTTATTCAATATAACAGAATGCAGGCATTTCCGATGAATGGAATAAATGGAATTTTATGGATTGCATTTCCCGGTAGTTCGAGCTAGGTCCAAAAAGAAAAATTATACCACGTGGACGAACAGGGTATCTCGTATATAAGAGGTACGAGAAAGTCCTAGGGAATTTTTTAGAATCATCGTATCTGATTTTCTGGTTCTCTAAGTCTAGTACTCTCTACTCTCCTATAGTTCATCCTCCTTCACAAATTATGAAGCACCCTGTATATACACTGTTCGCAGTCGAACAGATGATCGCCAAAGTGAATTACCCCTGGGTCTAGAGATCTCTAGGTACCCGCAGATTCACCGCAAAACGAACGCGCCTGTAAATCGAATTACCGAATATACGATGACCGTCAGTGCGAAGGAAGTCCGTTAGGTGTACCGGGGGGTTGCCCTAGCTGCGCCGTCGAGGGTCTGAGCCGCGGTTCCGCGAGGTTTCCTCTCTTCTGCAGGTCTTCTCAGTTTCCATCTCTCGACGTAGCCTCATCGATTGCAACCTCATCTTGCCAGCTGGATGAACGGACGGACGCGAAACGAAAAAACCGTTATCGGTATTCAGCGTTTCGTCGAAGAAACGGATAGAGACGGGAGAGGCTCTTTCGAGTCTCGCGAACGATTTTTCTATAGTCCGTAATCGCTTTAGAGAGGACGCGGTATCGGTAGGATAGGTACAAAGGAGGATGATATATTGGGTTTTTAATCCAATCCGCTAGTCGAGCTTTTCAGCTGCGGCTGAAGATTCTTTTTTACGAGGAGTGGGAGAACTATGCTTTGTCGTCTATGATAACTTTGTACTATATTTATGGGTGCGTTATCATTTGTGATAGATAGACGATTAGGGAAATATTTTTAATAAATTGCAGCCTTACAGGCAATTTGTAACAGAGAACCCTAACGCGCTCATGGAGCAGATGCTGAGCTGCTAAGTGAGCGGTTGCGATCTTTCAGATGTGCAACGATTGTATAGGGATTTCATTATTGTTAACCTCTTGCACTATTTTCACTAGTCTGACTAGTGATGAAAAGTTTAGGGCAAATTTGAAAATCACGAGCCAGACTCGTGATGAAAGTTTTAGGGCAAACTTGAAAATTACGAGTCACGCACGTGAAGAGAGTTTTAAGCCAAATTTGAAAATCACGAATCAGACTCGTGATGAGAGTTGTAGGGCAAATTTGAAAATCATGAGACTCACTCGTGATGAAAATTTTTGGCCAAATTTGCAAATAACGAGTCTGACTCGTGATGAAAATTTTTGGCCAAATTTGAAAATCACGAGTATGGCTCGTGATGAAAATCTTGAACCAAAGTTGACAATCACGAGTCTGGCTCGTGATGAAAATCTTGAACCAAACTTGAAAATCACGAGTCTGCCTCGTGATGAAAATTTTTGGCCAAATTTGAAAATCACGAGTATGGCTCGTGATGAAAATCTTGAACCAAAGTTGACAATCACGAGTCTGGCTCGTGATGAAAATTTTAGGCCAAATTTGAAAATCACGAGTATGGCTCGTGATGACAATCTTGAACCAAACATGAAAATCACGAGTCACGCACGTGATGAAGATTTTAGTTCAAATTTGAAAATCACGAATCTGGCTACATCGATTCTAACCATCGTAAATTCATTTCAGGCGCAACGTCCAGAGCAGAGCGTGATGCAAGCGCTGGAGAGCTTGAACGACTCCCAGGTGAACGACTTCCTCTCCGGCAAGGCCCCTCTGAACCTCACCATGCGATTAGGCGATCACATGATGCTCATACAGCTGCAACTGTCCACGGTGACGCCAGCCTCGCCGACTGGCAACCAGACAACGGCCAACACGACGGGTCTGACCATCGGTGGGAGCAGCTCGAACGGTTCCAACGTGCCCGCCAGCCACGTCTCGACGTCCCTGCAGAGCAGGCGTTCGACGGTGTTAGCCGCTCGTTCGACGACGAGCGCCTCTACGAAGCTGCAAAACGGCACCGCGGCTGCGCGAACCTCGTCGTTGATAAGCAGCTTGGTGTCGGCGTTGCACGCCGCGGCCAGCTGCAGCACCAGCCTCTCGACAGCCACCACGACGACCAGTCCTATCTGTTCGAGCCGCGCGACGACTGCCTCCTCCGTTTCCTCGACGTCCTACTCGCCCATCAGCCCGCCGCACTCGTCCTTCTGCGCCAGCCAATCGCAGAGCCCACGCACAGGCACCAACCGCTGCCCCGCATCGCCCAACGGTAGCTCCACCACGTGTTCCTCGTGCCGTTTCTACCACCATTACCACCATCTCTACCACATCTACAGCCGCCTTTCCAACCGCCATCACCACCACCATCACCATCACCATCACCATCACCACCACTCTAGGAGCAAATCGTCACCGTCACCCTCGCCCTCGCCCTCGCCCTCACCCTCACCCTCACAGTTACCGAACACCTCGCAGTCGTCGTCAGCAACCCCCGCCGTCGACCACATGCAACACTCTACCTCTGTCAGCCATGGATGCGCGGATTCCACGCCCTACGACATCACGCCGCCAAGGAAAAAGCTCTGCACCGCTCACCACCACGGCCAACCATCAACGAACGCCACTGAGCCCTCCAGGAGTATCGCCATGGACGACACCAGACCCCAGAGCCCTACCTCCACTATGAACGAGCAGAACTCGAAGGCCGCGACCTTAGACACCAGGGCGCTCGCAGAAGCCTCGCGTAACCTGACGCAGAAGCTGAAGCAGCTCTCCTCTGAGGTACTCACCTCGCGGGTCGACCTCGCAGAGGTATACATTATTACCGATGCCAGTTCCCCCTGTGTACCACTATTTCGTATACATGTAAAACAGTGTGGCTGTCCAGGTCCTAAGAGATGATGGTTCAGGTTACCGATACTTAGAATCCGCATAAGAGACTGAATATTATTGCGTATCCTATTTGTGAAGAGAATTGTATTTGTATATTGTATTTGTATATTGTGAGAGACTCGCGGGTTCTCTTAGGTCCTTAAGCGTAGTTTTATAATTGCATGATCCGAGAAGAGTATCGCTATTTTTGAAAGTCTTAGTTCATCGCATCTTTGCGATTATTTGGAAGAGAGTAACGCTGTGTTTGTCAAACTGAAATCTGTGTATTCTTGGGAGACTGAGTTTTAGAGGAACTATTAATTTTAAAGGCGGATTGTTAACGAAAAGAAATCTGGATTAAATGTTAGATTCTATTTAGAGGAACTTTTAGGCTTGTAGACATTTGCGAATCACAGTCAGGCAGTCAATGTAAACGTTTCTTTTATTGCTGTTCGTTAACAGAATTACTTCAGTCTCGAGCAGAGCTGTAATGATTAACTTTGTACTCATTACAATTTGGAATAATTACTTTGGAATTAGAAAGTAGTTGTTTAAGTGATTCTTGATTACTTTGTTTTTAGTAATTATGCAATACTTTACTCATAATTACTGGTAGTAGTTAAGTAATTGCAAGTACCATGCGACGAATGGCAATTATTTAATTACTTGATCAAAGTAATCATTACGTAATGGTAATTACAAGACTGTGGATTTTTATGCATTTATAGGAAGTTTGAAAAACTTATAGGAAGTACAAAAAGCTACAAAATGCATGCGGTGTGCAAGAATATAAAAATAATGAAAGTAAAGTTCACATTATAATATTTTGCATGTTAAGTTCTATTATTGTAGGTACATTAGCAAAGATTTTATTTTGCATACAGATCCACAGTCTAGTAATTAACCCTTTGCACTCGAGGCCTTTTTTTCTGGTATCTGCCAGCAACTCGAGATGTTTCTTAGCATTCTATTGCCATGAATTCTAAGCTATCTAGATTTGAGAATAAGGTCACCTTTACCTCATTAACAATCATTTTATCGACACTTTGAGCTCCAAAGAAATTAAACCTAAAGAAACATTAGGTATTGTAGATTGCTGCGTGGAACCTAACAGTGACTAAAAGTCACCTCTTGAGTGCCAAGTGTCAATAATGTACAGCTCTGTTTTTGAGTAGCGTTGAACAGATCCCAAGAGGGCCTATACAGGTCCACGATTTCTGTATGAAAAACATTGTGCAGTGCATGCAATTATCACAACTACTGCCTAAGAATGCCAGTATTCTTAAATGATATACATCCGACGAATAAATACATAATAATCCTAACTAAGCTTTTTTCAAACACAGGAAAACTCAAGACGCAGGCAAGGTGCAATAATAGAGAGTATGAATCACCACGGAAAAGGCGTGTACTCCGGTACGTTTAGTGGGACCCTGAACCCAGCCCTTCAAGACAGACACGGACGTCCGAAGCGAGACATAAGCACTATCATTCACATTTTGAACGACCTACTGTGCGCCACACCGGCCGCCACGGCGGGTCACTACAGGCATCACCAGAGGCACTCGAGCGGCCGTCAACAGTCTTCGACGTCTCCGTCCCCGGCTGGAACGACAACCACCGAGAATGGCGCATCGACGTCCATCGGTTGCCATGATTCCACCTCACCTGGATACTCCACCGGTACTAGATCGATATATGATCGTGGTAGAACCTCGCTTATTGGGACAGGATGATGGAGTCTTGATAAATAAGTAATTTAGATGAGAGAGGGTAGATTCATGAAGGTATTGGGTTCATACACAGATAGCTGGAGGGTTCTGAGCTCAGTTATAGGAGGGTAGAGGGTGCTAGGTGCTAGTTATTGGGGGGGGGGGGGTAGAGGGTGCTGAGCTCGGATATAGGGGAGCTTAGAGGCCTCTAAATTTGACTGTAGGGGATGTAGAGGCTTCTAAATTTGACTATCGGGGATCTAGAGGCTTCTAAGCTTGGATATAGAGGAGTTAAAGGCTTCTAAATTTGACTATAGGGGATCTAATGGCTTCTAAGTTCGGTTATAGGGAGCTAGATGCTTCAGAGGTTGGCTACAGTGGAGAGATTGGTGAGGGTACTAGAAGGTAGAGGTTAGAAAGTACTAGGACTGAGCTGAGAGAGTACTAGGGTCAGATACAGTGAGCTAGAGGGTCCTGAACTCACCTATAGGGGTCTAGAGAGTAGAGAGTTAGATACAAGGAGCTAGAGAGCACTGAGCTCTGATATAAGTGGGCTAGAGAGTACTAAGCGTAAATACAGAGAGCTAGGGGGTACTGAGCTCTGATATAAGGGGTCTAGAGAGTACTAGGCTCAAATATTGAGAACTAGAAAGTACTGAGCTTAGATGCAGAGAGCTAGGAGGTACTCTGATATAATGGGTCTAGAGGGTACTAGGCGTAGATACATAGAGCTAGAGAGCACTGAGCTCTCATATAAGGGGGCTAGAGGGTACTAGGCTCAGATATAAAGAGCTAGAGAATACTAAGCGTAGATACAGGGAGCTAGAGAGCACTGAGCTCTGATATAAGGGGGCTAGAGCTCGGATATAGGAGAGCTAGAGGCTTCTAAATCTAAATTTAAAATTTTAATGAAAGGCTAGAGGGTACTAGGCTCGGCTACGAGTGGGCTAGAAGGTACTGGACTACAGGACTTGAACCCAACTATATAACGAAATAAAAATCTCCCTGATTGATGAAGTTAATGTAGCAACACTGTAAATAATAATAATTGTGGGAAACGTATAGCTGGCCATTCTCGTAACAGTTTCCACCTGCAGCTCCACATAATACAAATAATACCATACTCTAAATAATACAACCAAACGACTGTACAACTCCAGAAACTGTTAACGTTATATATCCCCATTGCTATCAAGTCCTGCAGACAATTCAGACAAAATCACATCCAAAAGCATCCAGTGACCACTTACGAGTTCTTCTAACCGTGACTGAACATGATCTTATCCATCCAAACGAGGTTCTACTGTAATACTGTAATACTATTGTATATAATAAGTTGTATTGTATATAATAATATATTGTATATAACAAGTTTCTACAACTTTATTCATTTTTTACGCAGAAGAACTGTCGAAGGAGAACGAAGCGACTAAAGGAAAGATGAGACGCCTGCGCCTGGTGATGGAGCAGCGACGCGCCATGAGAAAAGCCAGGGCGGGGGTGACACCTGATCCCGACTCGAACCGTGACCGAAACACGTCGAGCACCGCGAACACGGCGGAACCACAAAACGAACCGGAGCTTCAGCCGTGCAGTCCAGAACCGGTTGTTGCCTGAACGACCGTCGATTCCTGGCGCAGTAGTTTCCTCTGTCGTACACGCAACGAGTCTCGTAAACTATCGCACTGATTTATTCGACAAAGGTGGAACCCTATCCACCTATTCGCCGCGAACGCTATTCAACGTATCCAGGATCTTTGAAAGTAGTCGAGCTCCTGTGTTTTGTTTATATTATACTTTGTTGTTGTGCGAGAGCTACTGCATTGGTTAGCGATTTGTAAGACTGTAGTTACGCACGTGAAACGCTCGAATAATTCATCCAAATGCAGCCTTATAAATATTCGCACTTTCCTTCCCTAAGATATTTGTCTATTTAAGGTATTTGTTAATAAGTTCGATAGGTTTCCAAAGAAATCAACATTTTTCGCTATAAATACAGGCGTGAGGTTTATCAATTAGGTTTGCCCTCGCGAACATATTTGTAATGATTCATTTGGAAACGTCGAATCTATTGTGCAATAACCAGTTTGTAACAACGGTTTGTCACATTAACATGTTGATCGCCAAGTCACTCATATGTGGGTGACAATGCTTTTCACCGAAGAACAAACAAAATTAATTCTGAATGTTAAGTATCGAAGACAATAAATTTGAATGAAATTCATAAACTACAATTCAGTTTTAAAAATAAATACCACAATAAGTGGTTGATTATGTAGCTTTCAATGGTCTGGAAACAAAACTTAATTAATGTAGAAATTTTCAAGAGTGTTAGTCTGGCAATCAACGTGTTAAAGACACATCGAATCTACTATTTAATTCAGACCGGGGCTGACTTGAATCTTTGAAGCGTGTACAGTTCGATATACAATATACAGTCAGTATGTAAGAAGCATTCGTACAGGAATCAATTTAAAATAAAATTAATAAGACAAGAAATAAGAACATAATAAAAATAATAAACTATAATAAACTTCAATTTACGCAAATTCTACTCTAAAAATATTTGATAATTGCACAAGTTCGTGCCCGATTTAAAAATGAAGTCCAATGTGTTAAATTTCAAAGAATATGATTTTATTAATCAATTATGTAGTCGGCAATATTTTCTAATTTTGCACGTGATATGTATAGACGTTGCTATGACAACTCCATTGTTTTTGTTTGGTTGGTTTACGTATATTAATATATATGTATATGTATATGTATATATATGTATGTATATGTATACATGTACATAACCTCCTTTTCGAAGTCTGTTGAAGAATGTGTCTTGGGAGAGAAATGTTTTGTTCTGGGGAGAACATACTGTAACAGACGAAACTATTATCTCGAGGTCATACTTTCCAAATTGTCAAGGTCATCAATGTTTTTCTTTAATAGAACCGGGAATTTTCAATATTGTAATCCTGTAGCTGATCAAAAGACGATTCAAAGATGTATAATATGTTGACCTTCAGACGACCTTGCGAAGAGTTATTCTTATAAGTCCAATGAGATTTGTAACTAAAATATCTCCGTTGTTTTTAACGATACGAAGAAACGTCTTAAGAGAAAAATGCTTGTCTTTTGATCAGCTACGAGACTGCAATATCGAAAATACCCAGTTCCGTTTAAACAAAAACTGATAACCTTGAAAATTTTAAAAATATGACCTTGAGATCTTTTTCCTCCATATGGTGATATTGTCCCCTGGAAACTGATGAGTTTCTGTCCGAACAATTTTTCCATATCATTTAACATATCAAAGTAACAGAGACATTTCAGATTCGACTCTCCTTGATTTTGTATCAAGGTCACCCGAAGGTCATCCATTTAAAAAAAAAAATATGATGTCCATGAAATTCCATAAAATATGACCTTGAGCTAATTTGTTGCTTAGCATAGTATGATCCCATCCTAACCAAACATTTTTTTTCTAAGATACATCTTTGTATCGTTATAAGTAGACTGCGGATCTTTATGCATTTATAGGAAATTTTAATGTGCATTTATAGAAAAGAACCTACAACATGCAAACTTAATGCAAGAATATAAAAAAGATTGAAAGTAAAGTTGACGTAACAACATTTGCAGAATAAAATAAATTCCTATGTAACTTAAATTGTTGTATGCACCTTCGCAAAGATTTTATTTTGCATAAAGATCCGCAGTCTAGTTATAAGTAACTGAGACATTTCAATCTTTAATAGATTCACCTTGTATTACCAGTACTTGACCGTAGGTGACAATAATTGCGCATGTCGAATAAATCAGTGTGACACAGCCGAGCCTGCAAACGAAAACAGGAATAAACCAATAGAATAAAGAGAACCGTACGCTAGAGGAGTCTCTTCGTTAAAAATGCGCCCGATTCCAGAAACGAATCAACAAAAAGGAGGATCCTCGACTAATCCGCGTATACTCAGAATTTAGTAGACACGCGTAGAACTTTAAACTCACACGATTCACGCAGGGAATACAATGTTAAAAAGAAGCAATGTTAAGGAAACGTTTACTCGCAATTAATTATAATTCGCAATAACTCCGACTTTATTGCAAGCGTAACAAATGTAACTTTCGAGTAGACGTGTTTTTGCGTCTGTTGATGGGAACTGATCGATTCGCGACACGTTAACGTACGTACTGATTTAAGTTTCCGCGAAAACAACGAGGTGAGCCGTCGACGGCTTAATTCCACGCGCTTTTCTGTATCGCTGTCGCTATCGCTATCGCAGTTCGCTGTCAACGATTCCCATATCAGTTTTTGGTATATGTATAAAAATTAGAACGGATTGGACTTTTTAAACTTGGGATAATCGAGTCGCAAGCTTGGTTGCTCTATCCGAGGATCATGCGTTGTTCTTGAAGAAAAGAAAAAAAAAGATAAACAAGAGAAAACAGCACGCGGATAAATGGTCCTATAGTTAGAAACTAGGTAATCCTATCGCATGGCTCCGAACGCCGACGATTCATTTAAGTTTACTAGGTACTAAATAATATAATATCATCTAATAATAGTATATTGCGTTAGGTTACTTAGAGAACAAATATTATTACTATTATTATATTATTATCATTACTACCGCTACAGTTTCCCAAAAACTGGCTCAATATTGTAACATATGATTATTAAATTTTATCGAGTACCAAAATAAATAAGATTGCTTGCTAAGCTGACGAGGAGGGAAGTTCGTGTTTTAGTCTTGTTTGAATGTGACGTCGTCTGTTGAGTGTTTGTTATTGTTATCGCCGTTTATTGCTTGTAAAAGAGGAAGAAAAAAAAAAGGAACCGTTTGTCGACGCTGTTTTTCATGATTTTTCATTTGTATTTCAGTTGAGATCCGTCGAGTTATGCGAATATATGCTTCGTTTTAGTTAGTAAGGATAGATATATGATTTAAGGAGCCTGTAGACGTGTACGATGTTTCGTTTCGAGTTATTGATATTTCAAATTGTTTATTTAAATTATATCTTTAATTACGTAAAAGTGTAGAAATGTATCGACGCTTAAAAAATTACACTATCATAGTTTATATCAACGAATTGTTGTAGTTACACACGCAACACAGACTTCGCGACAATACAACTACTATTATTAAAAAAAAGAGAGAGAAAACGATCGTTGTTTTTCCAATCGGATTATATTTACAAACGTTACGTTCGTCCGGACGTAAAATTTGCAATTTGATTTAGATAAAAAGATACAATTTAGATAGTCGGCGAGAACTGTGCAATTCACTTAAATCTAACGTACGTACATATATATACAGTGGGTGTAGAAATATGTACATTGATCAATTTCATAAAAAAACTATGTAAAATTGTAATTTATTAACTTATTTTGTATAAACTGACATTCTACATATTCTCAGAAATCTCTAGAACAGATACATTAAAAAAAGAAATAGCTATTTATGTAAAGTGCAAAATTAACAAGAGGAAAACAATCGATAGAAATGTTGAAGCAATAAGTATTCACACAACATTAATTTATAAGTATATAATACTTCCTTTGTGAGGTTTTCTTTTGATTTTATAATTATTGCTTATATATTTAGATTGTATTTAGATTATATTTAGAGGGTAATTATAATTATCCTCTTCGAAGCATTAAATTAACTAGATTATTAGTTATTCGAAGTGGGATCTTTTTCGATTCCTCTATTAGAGCCATTTCTAAAAGTACTAAAAATTTGATGTTTTCTAATTCCTACGGAGCAATAAACTAATATGTTTACGTTACAAACTCTATGATATATAATGATTCGTTATAAGAATCATACAAATACTTATTGCTTCTATACATTTTCCCACTTTTTTGTTAATTTCATAAATTATATTAACTAGTAAATGTTGTTTGGACTATATCCATCTTAGAGACTTCTGAGAATATGTAAAATATCATTGATTATAAAAATAGAAGTTAAGAAACTACAATTTCACACAAAAGCTTTTTGGGAAATTGATCTGTGTACGAATACTTTCTACATCCACTGTATATATATGTATATATATATATATCAACATAAGGATACATTTTATTATTACCTACATTCTGCGCTTGAACTATTACTTTCACTGGAAAATAATCAACATGCCAATGCTACCAGTTTCCTTTTGTAACGAAAACAAGATCTGCGAAGAAATTTGTACTGGAGAGTTTCTTTTCATCGTGGCACATTATTCGCAATGAAAAACTATTCTTGGCGGTTAATCGATTACCTTCTTTATTATTCAATCACAAAAAGACTTTATAAATTACTTGGTAAGAGTAAATCTCCTTGTATACCTATTTACTTTTGGCTAGAAGCGATATCGTTCGATACCCTTTTGTTTCTTTACCTACTAAGTCGTATATACCGTTCCTACTCACATTGATATTACATAAAAATCAATAGAAATCGCCGCGTACCCTAGAATCGATAATAATATACAATACGCGTGTAAAGGTAGTCACGATATGTAAGAAAACCTCGAAAGTTGCTCATTTACACGGATTCGCGATGCTCGACGCGCGACTTTATCAAAGCAGAGCTCGAAAATGTTGAAATGAAACGCAGCATATATTGTTATCAAGTTGACTACCACGCTTTGTTTGAAAATAATTGGAAATTATGTAACGTAATGTCACGGTATTTGTTGTTACAACCTTATCAGAACTCGAGAATCTTTACTTTCACATAGTTTCTTTAACCCTTTCGATCCAAATTTTGTTCTGTTTAGATTCTATTCGTTTTTCTTTTAAAATTGAATTGTATTATTTAATACTTTAATACTATTAAAGTAGGTTGCCTTAGGGCGATTCTTGTTTTAATGATTTTTTAAATCTATGTTTCACAGCCCCTAAATACCTTGCGAATACAAAGAGAATATTCCTAAAATTTGAGTTCTGTATTCTAACATTTTTTAATCAATTACCTTTTATTTTACAACTCTGATAAAAATTGATGCAACAATTTGAAATTTGCCAGAGTTGTCACTTATAATTAGACTGCAGACCTTTACGCAAAATAAAATCTTGGCAAATGTACTTTACAAAAATTCAACCTAAATAGGAATTTATTTTATTCTGCAAATGTTGTTACGTCAATTTTACTTTCAATCTTTTTTATAGTCTTGCATTAAGATTGCATTTTGTAGGTTCTTTTCTATAAATGCACATTGAAATTTCCTATAAATGCATATTATAGCGAATATTGTAACATGAATGGACATGTATTCTTGCATACTGCATGCATTTTGTAGTTTCTTGCACACTCAAATTCCCTATAAAAGCATAAAAATCCGCAGTCTACTTATAATAATAGGAAGTCTTAAAAATATCTAATTTTTATCTTAATTATTTCCTTGCACAGTAAATATGAAGCTACTTTCCCTACTTAAAATATTTTTGTAACGCTATCTTAAATGTTTTAAATATTGAAAACAATCCATGTATTATCCATTTAAACTTTCGAAGGACACGTGTTAATGTTAAAGTTAATAGCTGAAATTTTGCAGGAATATTTTCCAGGATTATTTTCTTATGGGTTGTGCAAGCTATTTAGAGGTTACGTAACAGATTTCAGAAATAAGGACCACCCTAAATTGTCTACGAATCAAAGACAGTAGCCAGATAAGGAGTGACAATTTGTCCTAGCATAAATGATATTTCTTTTTTTAGTCATACGGTCAGTGTAATAAGTATTCGTACAGGAATCAATTAAAAAAAATACTTCATATATTTATTTGATTAATAAATTTTAGGGAAGAAATAGTTATCCAACATTCCTACATATTTTTAGAGTAGAATTTGCTTAAATAAAGTTCAGTATTTTTAATGTTAACCCTTTGCACTCAGGAGGTGACTCAGTCACTGGGTTTCCTTTACGTTTGATTGCTTTGGAATTCGAAGTGCCAATAAAACAATTGTCGAAGGAGTAAGGGTGGTCTGATTTTCAAATCTCAAACTAGAAATCTCATCTTCGAAGAATGGTAAACCTAAGCTTAGCATTCTTGGGAATAGAATGCTAAGAAAGCATCTCGAGTTGCTGATAGATACCAGAAAAAAAGGCCTCGAATGCAAAGGGTTAATGCAAAAATGGTGGAACGTCTCCAGAGTTCTTCATAGTTCTCCAAAGTTGGAGTTCCGGAGTCTCCATATGTTGAAATTAAATGACTTTGGAATTAAAGCCTTCATAAATTATAATAATTGTGGACATATACATCCACCTTTTTAATATCTCTCTCGAGTTGCTGATAGATACCAGAAAAAAAGGCCTCAAGTGCAAAAGGTTAATCTCTCATTTCTTTTCTTATTAATATTATTTTAAATTGCTTGCTGTACAAATACTTCTTAAACCGACTGTATGTTACTGTGAGTCTCAATAGTAATTTGGCCAATGTACCACTAGGGTCGAAAGGGTTAACACATCATCTTCCGGAATAAGTTTTTTAAATTCCTATCCAAGTCCCATTGAAGTCCTGACGTATGTCTGACGTGGTGATCAACGTGTCAGATCCGCGTTTCTGGTAACATTTTAGGACAGCCTCGATAAAGTTGGCTCGCGAAACGCCTATAATACAAAAGTGTCGACTGTTCGACGATACTCCTGTCTTCGAACGATGATAAAAAATGGACGGGATTTACAATAGGCGAAGCGTCCCTTGGCGACGAAGGAGAATGCACGATTGAAGAAAACGAAAAAAAAAAGAATATAAAGCTCGATGTCTTGTATTTACTGACACAAGACATACTCGCTCTGTGACTTGTTTATATGTAGATTTTTATTCGTTATGGCACGACGTTGGTGCGTGTACGAAGACTCGATTGAATATATATATATATGTATATAGAAAAAAAGAAAATATCTGTATACTCTGGCAGTTCGAATGCAGTAATAGAATTTTACAGGTCGATATCGATTTGTAATATCTCGTACAGTACACTTGTAATCGATATTTGTTCAAGGAGGGAAATAGGTTTAGGACTACGTTCTTTTTTTTAATGATTTGCATGAATTTTTTTTTTAGCAAGAAAGGAACTTATATAATTCAATTAATGAAAGTTTGAGAACATTTTATACATATATTCAAGTAAATATTGTAATTTTTTGGAAGTATTTCCTCGAAAAATATGGAAGATATCAGCTACATTCCACAGTTTTCATCTGAAATCAATAGGGATCCCTTTGCACTCGAGGCTTTTTTTTTTGGTGTCTACCAGTAACTCGAATGCTAAGATTTTAAATCTAATTTTAGATTCTACTGCAGCTTTTATTGACCTTTATTGCACTGACAATTATTTTATTGACACTTCGAGCTCCAAAGAAATGAACCGTAAACAAATATTGGTTGATTTACTGCGTAAAATCTAATGGTGACTGAGAGTCACCTCTCGAGTGCAAAGGGTTCAATTTGCTTTAAAAACATGTCTTTCTTCTATATGAACGTACATTTCCTCTTAAAAAATTGAATGTGACGTGTTAAAGAATAGAGCAAATTTTTTTGCAATCATTTTTTGCAATTTTTGTATAACGTTTTCAGCAATAAAATGATACTTTAAACAATACTACTCTAAATGTAGATTCTTATAGAAGAAAAACACGCCTTCAAACTATATTTAAATCCTTACTGATTTCAGATGAAAATTTTAGCAGTTGATATCTTCCATATTTTTAGGAAATATGAAGGAAATACTTCCAAAAAATTACAATATTTACTTAAATATATACATATAAAATGTCCTCAATGTTTCATTAAATTATATACATTTCTTTCTAGCTAAACAAATTCATGCAAAACACTGGAAAGACGCGGTGCCCTAACCTATTTCCGCTCCATCGTTGATTGTCTAGTATAAATTAATTTTCTTTGTGATAACTTTGCGACACATGTGACAAGTCTTGAGCGGGGCCGCGCAATGCTCGCAGGCTCCGTGTCCGCACAGAAACGCGACGTTGCGACGACGTTCCATGCAGATGCTGCACATGTTTGCCTCCTCCAAATCTGCCACCCTAGTTTCTAAGTAACGCAGTCGTTCCAAGTCCTTGTCCTTCTCCTTTTCCTGGTCCTCTTCCTTCTTCTTATCCTCTAGCGTGTCGTCCTTCAGCTTCTCCTCAGGTTTCGTCAAAGGGACCTCACCTGTAGCTGACTGACCATCTACGCCTGATGAAAAACAGACAAGAATTGTGACTTGGAGTGGTTACTCTTTACAAAAAGATACAATGATGATATATAATTAGTTTTAGAGGCGTTAAACAGCATAACAGGACTTTTCAGGAATTTAAGGAACACGACAGAACTTTTCAGTAACGGAACTACTAGAGAAATTAATTCCAAAAGTGATGCATTAAGGAAATCAAATTTAGATAGGATTTGTGAATCTGGAGAGGTTCAAGTATTAAATACTAGTATTACATCTAATTTCCATCAGTCCCGAGACAAAATTTTAACTCTGTAGTTTGCACGAGTTCTAGTTTGACAGTCAACGCAGGAAGAATTTTGATACTTTGTTAGTATCATCATCAAATTGCGAATTTTACGCATTTATGATATAAACTAATATGATAAACACATGCTAAGGTATGTGTACTTATATAAAATGAAATAACAATACTGTTGCAATAATTGTGGAATAAATCTATATACGTAGAAAGTGTGTGCACGTTAGAGTGAAATTGAGAGCTCAAATTTTTCAGGAATATTTTCTTACGTCTTTGCAAAGTATGTAGATGGTGTGTAACATAGATTTCAGAAATCATTGATATAAGAATCACCCTAGTGGACTTACGCAAAATGAAATAACGATATTATTACAATAATTGTGGAATATATTCAACATACATTCTGTATATCTTACGTATGTTTTCTATGTTATCCTACATCATAAATGCATAAAACTCGCAGTCTAATCGTCACGTGTTACCTTGATTTCTTTGTGTTTTAGCAGTTCCGTTGCCACAATGCGTACAGGTGAAAATAGTAACGCTACCGCTAGGATTAAGTCGTTTCCTAACTTCCCTGCATTCACTACTATACCTGAACAATTGTGGCACTCGGTGGCGTCGCCAGAACCGGATACGCTCTTCCTCGTTCTGCGCACCACTTCCGACTGCGACGCTGGATCTATCTCGTACATGGCGGTCTGCGAGGCGGGAGCATTCTCTATCCTGCAAGTACACGATCGCACGACGTGGATGAGTATAGAATTCTTCTAGACTTCCAGAGTTATAATTAATAATAAACAAATTGGCATTTTTAACATCATTTGATTTTTAGATAGAAATTCTTAATTTATTAAAGGAAATTTCCTATTCAAAGTCCCAGTCTAGTTTGAAATAATATAATCTCGACTGAACTCGAGTAAGATAAGTAAAGTAATACAAGTAATATGATTTTGAATGAACCCACTCTAATTGAGTACTGTGGCTTTGGTACTGGTAACAGCGCAGAAGATCGCCGTATGAGGCAATCTGTGGATCCGATTCGAGGAGATCCAGAGGAGTCTTATTCTTGGAGTTCCTCGCGTGCTCCAAAAGAGTGCAGCTCCTATCCACGCTCACCAAGAAACAAGCTAACGCCAGTTCCGTCTTCGTACCCTGTCTCGTCAAATTTTGCCATATCTGGAATCAAAATATGGGTTGTTGATTACTTTCATTAAGGACGAAGAGAATATTAAAATAGTGGATGTATATGTCCACAATTATTATAATTTATGAAGGCTTTAATTCCAAAGTCATTTAATTTCAACATATGGAGACTCCGGAACTCCAACTTTGGAGAACTATGAAGAACTCTGGAGACGTTCCACCATTTTTGCATTAACCCTTTGCATTCGAGGCCTTTTTTTCTGGTATCTATCAGCAACTCGAGATGCTTTCTTAGCATTCTATTCCCAAGAATGCTAAGCTTAGGTTTACCATTCTTCGAAGATGAGATTTCTAGTTTGAGATTTGAAAATCAGACCACCCTTACTCCTTCGACAATTGTTTTATTGGCACTTCGAGTTCCAAAGCAATCAAACGTAAAGGAAACCCAGTGACTGAGTCACCTCCTGAGTGCAAAGGGTTAACATTAAAAATACTGAACTTTATTTAAGCAAATTCTACTCTAAAAATATGTAGGAATGTTGGATAACTATTTCTTCCCTAAAATTTATTAATCAAATAAATATATGAAGTATTTTTTTTAATTGATTCCTGTACGAATACTTATTACACTGACCGTATGACTAAAAAAAGAAATATCATTTATGCTAGGACAAATTGTCACTCCTTATCTGGCTACTGTCTTTGATTCGTAGACAATTTAGGGTGGTCCTTATTTCTGAAATCTGTTACGTAACCTCTAAATAGCTTGCACAACCCATAAGAAAATAATCCTGGAAAATATTCCTGCAAAATTTCAGCTATTAACTTTAACATTAACACGTGTCCTTCGAAAGTTTAAATGGATAATACATGGATTGTTTTCAATATTTAAAACATTTAAGATAGCATTCTACTGCCATGAATTCTAAGCTATCTAGATTTGAGAATAAGATCTCCTTTACCTCATCGACAATCATTTTATTGACACTTTGAGCTCCAAAGAAATTAAACTTAAAGAAACATTAGGTATTGTAGATTTCCTGCGTGGAACCTAATGGTGACTGAGAGTCACCTCTCGAGTGCAAAGGGTTAATTTCTCCCGTGACTCACCGCATAGATGAGAGGCGAGTCCCTGCAACTCTCAGGCGTAGGAACGACGTTCGTTTGATTCGAGCTCTTGACAATGGCGATATGCAGCACCGTGTCGCCGTCCGCGTCCGTGCTGGCGACGTCCGCGTTATGGTGCACCAGCAGCTCCACTAGGGCCCAGTGGCCCTGCGAGGTGGCCAAGTGCAACGGTGTCTGTCGACGATTGTTTCTCAAGTCCACCTTGGCGTGACCACCGCCCGGAGAAACGAGTATAGCCGCGACGTCTTTGTGGCCGTTCAAGGCTGCTAAATGCAGGGCTGCGAAACCGTCGTCCTTCTTCACGTCCACCAGGTGCCTCGCTCGCAACACTAGCTTCTCCGTCGCGCTAGACAAACCGGAGACGAGCAAAGATCTTATCTGGTGAAGTTTAATCTGATTTCTTATTTATAGAAATGTATGTATGGATTTGTGATAAAGTATGGGAAAATCTGTGAGGAAGTGCATAAATGAAAAATATATAAAATATATGTATAAGGTATCAAAGTATAAGATAAAGGTTACTATAAAATAATAATAATATAAGAAGGATAAGTATAAAATGAAGGTTATAGTGAATATGATGTATGAGATACTTTCTCTAAATAGTAAATCTATTTCTAAATAGTAACGATTTCAGGTTAATTAAATTGAATTCATCTTCAAACAGTAACGAACTGAGATTTAAGAGAAAGTATATTCTCATCTTCTCAACAGTAACGAATTGAGATTCAAGTGAAAATATATCTCATCTTCTAAACAGTAGCGAATTGAGATTCAACTTTACTTACACTGTAGTCCTAACGGACTGTTCACACTTATTTAAAAGATGAGACACGCTTCAATTCGAAACTCAATTCATTATCTGAATCTACTAAAACATGAATTTGCATAAAAATCCATGGTTATTTATTACTCTAACAAAATTTTGTTCGTCTCTGTTCCAAGTTGACCCATGTCGAGTAATATACATATACAATTTTTCCATATCATTAAAAGCAACGGAGATACTTTAGATGCAAATCCTGAGTGACTCACCCTGTCTATGCAATATACAAATTCATTTACTCTACAAATATTGTAATACAAACTTTACTTCCACTATTTTCTAGATTATTGCATACTGTGTGATACATACTGTGCATTGCCCTTTAAGGCGGCGTGATGCAAGACATTGAAACCCCGCTTGTTTCTTAAGGTGAAGTCGACTCTCTCGCACGAGCACAGGGCGTCGATTATATCCAACGCGTCTTTACCGATGGCGTCCTTTCCGATCGCGTCGTGCAACGCGGTGTCCCCGTACGAGTCTTGCAAGTTAACGTCGCACTGGTGACGCAACAGGACCTTCACGCACTGCACGTGCTTCTTGTTCACGGCGACGTGCAAAGCGCTGCACTTGCCGTCATTCATAGCATTTATGGGAGCGCCGCGCGACAGAAGCAACTCCATGATCTCCGGCTGATTCCTAGGACCAAGAAAAAAAAATGTAAACAGTTAGGTTTGACGAATCTAACGTTTATTTAAAATTAAAACTACTGGTTAAGTCACTTAAAATTTGTATCTGAGATATCTCCGTTATTTTTGGTTTTATGAGAAAGATCTGCAGGACAAAGTTACAGTGTTTCAAGGGCCGTGTGTAATGGCGGGAGCATTCTTAATCTCAAGGTCATTTTGTGAAAAGATTTCAAGGTCATTGACGTTTTTTTCATAAGAATGGGATATTTTTATTGTTGTAGTCTTGTAGCTGAGGAAAAGACAAATTCAAAGATGTATAATACGTTGACCTTCGAATGACCTTGAGATGAGTTATCCTTACGCGATCAATAAAATTTGTAATTAAAATATCTCCGTTGTTTGCCCTCCGAAGATCAACATATTATACATGTTTGAATTTGTCTTTTCATCAGCTACAAGACTACAATAATGAAAATAACCCATCCCATTAAAAAAAAATACTGATGACCTTGAAAATTTTAAAACTATGACCTTGAGATATTTTTCGTGCATACGGTGATATTGTCCCCTGGAAACTGAAGAGTTTCTGTCGGAACAATTTTTCCATACCATTAAAAGCAACGGAGATATTTTAGATACAAATCCTAGGTGACTCACCCTGTAATATACAAATTTATTTACTCTACAAATATTACAATTCAAACTTTATAATTCAACTTATCCAATATTTTCTATATTATTGCATACTGTGTGAATGTTGCAGTTCCTTGCACGTTAAAATTTCCTACACATGCATGAAAATCCGCAGTCTAGTTGTAAACAAACGCGTTGATATGTTTAACAACAAAAGTTTTTCTTAAAAGTTGGTTCAACTCCAACGCAACGAACCCAAATGCAGCATAGTGCAGAGGAGTGTCTCCGTCCTCGTCTACCGCTCGCAGGGATGCACCAGCGTCTAGAAGAAGAGTGCAAAGGTCACGTTGACCTTGATGCGCCGCGACTTGCAGACACGTTTTCTTGCCACTTCCGGGACCGCCAGCTCTGGCATCTACTCTTCCTGGATACTTCTTCAGAAACTCTTGGACCGCGGATACCCCAGCCTCTCCCCTGGCTGCGTCTCTCAACAGTTTCTCCACTTCTGTATCTACACTGTCGGCTGCAAAGTATAGCATTAGTATATCAAATCAGTACCTATTTAAACCTTTGCAGTCGTATTAAATTTATGGCATATTGTAATAATAATGGGTATTGTACTGGTCGGTATTAATTTCCAAGAAACGAGCAATGATACATAATATCCAAGTTTATAAACAAGATTAATTAATTCTTTTGTGGGCTTTAGATATATGTTTACACAACAATGTGTTTTAATGTAACGTTTTTATGTAAAAATTATATTTTATAGTTCTCCATTATGTGGTATCTTTCGATAACTCTCTTCTTGCCATTTTGGAGTATTGTTTCTGAAATATTTTAAGAAACCGGAATGCCTAATTACACTTAAACACAATTTGTTAAATATTATTTGGAACTCTACCAAGTATTTTCGACTATTTGGTATTTATTACAATCTGTTACAGAAAAAATAACGATATTCAATATATTTGCCTTTGAAAAATTTAACATGTAGATATCTCACCGACTGGCTCATATATTCTTGTATAACTTAATATAATTACTAACGATCTTTCCATTAATCTATTATTACACTAATATCTTAGAATCTATTACTATTGTCTCATGGCTTAAATCTTTTCAGTCTGCGGAATACAACATAAGATTAGTATGGTTCTTTGTTGCGGTGACTGAGAGCAGACATTCGACTGCAAAGGGTTAAAGCTTTATTTGAAAATCCTCAATCCAAGCGTTACTATCATTTAATTATCAATGAACTTTGCAATAATATTTATGGTCTTAATTAGGAATGAAATCGTTGTTTAAATTTAAATTTAAATTTAATTTTGGTTGAAACGTTCATCGACAATTGATGAATGAACCCTGTTTACGTTCATCTAAAAAATTTATTTAATTAATATCTACCTGCCCAGTCTCTGCTCCTGGACTCATCCTGCAGAGAAGCAATTTCTGTCCCTGGAGGAACGAGAGTGACACTCAGAGGATTGAAGGTCCACGTGTGACCGTCCAGAGCGACCCTCAAGTCTCCGTCCGAATATATCTTTATCACTTTCCCAGTCTTTCCTAAAGCCTACGCAAGTCGACAAGTTATAAATGGCAACTTCGATCGTCGTCACAAACAGAGTCATACTAATTACATTTTTCATAACGTCTATCCACTCGCCGTGGCCACGTTGGTAGAGTTTAACCGCGGACAGATCGGTTTTCACTCTGACTATGTCGCCTAGAGAAAACGTGTCCTTGCTCGTGGCGTTCACGAGTGCTCCGGGATGAAAGGTCCATCTGTTGTTGCATCCCTCGAATTGCACGCGTACGTCGCCTTTGTCCGTGATACGGTGGACTCTGCCGATCTGATAACGAATTGGATTATTTATTAGGTTAGGTTAGGTTAGGCAAAAATTAGATTGGAATGCAATGGAAACACTCAAATATCTCCGTTATTCTTAATCCCACGAAAAAATTTTCTGGGACGAAGTTACAGTGTTTTAAGGGGCGTATGTAATGACGGGACTATTTTCTTTCTCAAGATCATTGTTTAAAGAGATTTCAAGGTCATCGGCATTTTTTTTAATGGGACGGAATATTTTCGATATTGTAGTCTTGTAGCTGATGAAAAAACAAATTCAAACATGTATAATATGTTGATCTTCGGAGGGCAAACAACGGAGATATTTTAATTACAAATTTTATTGATGGCGTAAGGATAACTCATCTCAAGGTCATTCGAAGGTCAACGTATTATACATCTTTGAATTTGTCTTTTCCTCAGCTACAAGACTACAACAATAAAAATATCCCATCCTTATGAAAAAAACGTCAATGACCTTGAAATCTTTTCACAAAATGACCTTGAGATTAAGAATGCTCCCGCCATTACACACGGCCCTTGAAACACTGTAACTTTGTCCCATAGATTTTTTCAATAGAACCAAAAATAACAAAGATATTCCCACTTGAACGTTCCACCCTGTATATTAACCCTTTGCAGCCCAATTTTTCTGATTTCAGTCAGTTATCGTCGAGCCTCCCTCGACATAGGATCGCAGAAGGTGAACACTTTCGCTGCGGATGGCGCACATGTGCGTCCAACTGAAAATATATGGTTGTTTTTATTATTTTTCAGTTTTCATTTATTTTGTTCGGCAATCGTATCATATATAAAATATGTTACCACAAATATATGTTTTTCAAAATAATCATATTAGAACATTTGTAAGAAATTTTTCGTTAAAAAAAAATATCATAATGGCAGCTCTCAGCGTACGGCTACTTATTTTCGTCCGCAGCGAAAGTGTTAAACGAAATGGCAGCGATTTTTCTTGTATCGTACTTTTCCTATATAGTCGGCCATTCGCGGGTTCCAACCGCCGTGGCTCTCCTGCATTTCCTTTAACGTTTCCACGTCAACCGCTACTTTTATTTTATGCCCGACGACGAACGTCGATTGGCGCGGACTAGACCCACTGGAAGAAATACCACTCCAACTTGGCGTCGAGTTATTCCCGTTGTTAGACACGGTGATGATCGGTTGGCCAACGAGTGGAAGATGCTCTTTGTAGTACGAACCGGTTGTTGCTTCTTCTACGTAACACAGATCTACGCAGCCCTTGTACCCGAGACGATAGACGTTCGAGCTGCCCTTGGACCACGTTACTGTTGCCACCGAACGACTGCTTCCGTTATCCCAACCGCGTATGTCCATCACTCTACCAGTTTTTCCTGGAATGTTGAATACCTAAGAATATCTGTATATTGCGTTGTTAGAGAAGTAATTGATAGTAATAATTAATATTGTGTTGTTAGAGAAGTAATCGATAGTAATAATTAATATTGTGTTGTTAGAGTAACGTTTGATAGTACCTCGTCCTCCGTCTTGGTTTCCCCATTCCCAATCTGGACCACGTACAACCTTTGCTCCTATAAATATTCCTTTTAATGGTATCTTAGTGCAGCCTTCTCTCGGAGACATCTGAATCCTATATAGAAAATAAAAATAACATTTAAAAACCAGCACTCGGGTTACATTCTTATTAACCCTTTGCGAAGGGCGTATATATACGTCCTCGAGAAATGTATTCAGAAAAATGTTTATATTCGTTGAATCAATTTAAACAAAATATCAGGTTATAGGGGATGATGCGACGAAACTTTTTTTATATTTACAGTTTACTCATAGGACACTTAGTTTCATAGATAAAAATTCAAAACTTGGAAGACCTTTTTTCTCTGAATTCGTTTAAATTTGGAATGGTGAAAATGAAAGCATCGTTAGTTGACAATTACTTATTTGATGCATTTGAAAAAAATATCACCTTATACAAGATGACAAAACGTAACTTTTTTATATTTACAGTTTATTCGTACGATATTTAGTTTCAGAAATAAAAATTGAAAACTTGGAATACCCTTTTTCCTGAAATTCAATTTTTCCAACAAACTTTTAACCTCTCAATTTTTATTTTCGAATCTACACGTCCTATGAATAAACTATACAAAGAAAAAAGTTTCGTCTCATCATCTCCTATAAGCTGGTATTTTTTAAAAATTGATTTAACGAAGATAAACATTTATCTAAGCCGATTTCTTGAGGGCGTACATACACATCCTTCCTGGTCAAAGGGTTAAGTAATGAAAGTCTGAAGGACCAACCCTACAGAATTGGCCGTCTGAAATCTTTGGAAAGTATGACTCAATTCGTGCACGTCAGCCATGTAGCACTGAGTGCACAGGTCGTAGTCAGGACACTGCGCACACTTCCATCTGATACCAATTATCCCGTGTCGTTTGCATCCATCACAGATAATGTTCGCGTGTTTAACTCCAGTGGCTGCATTGTCGAACACAAGCAAATCGTACGCTCCTTGGTACCCTATTCTGTAGTTGCTCCTAGATCCATGATCCCATTGAACGATAACAGTCTTGTTCGGCGTCCTGTCGGAAGGGTTCGGAGTGGAAGCAGAACTCCCAAAGGCTGGAGGCTTGCCAATCTCGACAACAGTCCCTGCGTGTCCTTCTCCACCATCCTGGTTATCCCACTTCCAGTCTGGCCCTCGAACCACTCTTAGACCGACCTCTAACATCTCAGAGTTGACAGCGTTCTGGTAGTGACCCTGTAGAAAAGGAATAAAATATAAATGTGAGGAAGGAATATTGTTAGTGGAATATAGGTAATGGGATTAGGTGTTTTCTTGGGTTGAGAAAGATGGGTGTAGGAAGACATTTGAGGATTTTAGAAAGGAGCATAGGGGGAATGGTTGAGTAGCAAGGCATAGGGGAGCATAGAGATATGATTAAACGATGTTTTTGAGAAGAAGAGAGTTTCTATTGTTGATTTAAGAAAGAATTGAAATATTTAGGAGAATTTTATGTATATGAGGTAATAGATATTAGATAGAGACCATTGTTGTATTGTGATTGTATAGTTTTGGTGTTCTTTTGGGTTGAGAAAATAATGGATAGAGGGGAATTTGAGGATTTTAGGGAGGAGTGTAGGAGGAAGAGTTAAGAGGCAAAGTATAGAGGTACAAAGCATCTTGACGAAGTACAGCTTTTGAAAAGAAGGAGGTTTTCATATTGATTTAAGAAAATAGTGGATAGAAGGAAAATTGAGGATTCTAGGCAGAAACATAGAAGAAAGAGTCGAATGGCAAAGCACAGAGTTGACTGAGCAGAGTTTACGAAAAAGAGGTTTTTATTATCCATTCAAGAAAAAGTATCAGAGATGCATACAAGATAATAAACACAGAAGAATATCATATTAATATTATATAGTTCATATTTTTTCTTGATTTAATAGTGAATAGAAAGGAATTTGAGGAATTTAAAGGAAAGAGTTGGGTAGCAGAGCATGGAATCTTGATCAAGCAAAGTTTCCGAAAAGGAGAAGGGTCATATTATCGACTCAAGAAAAGTATCGAAGAGGATTCCATGCATACAAGATAATAGATACAGACCGTTATCATATTAGTATCTTATTATTCGTATCTCTCTCCAATTTAAACAGCGTACAAGGTAAATAGAGCAATGTAGGCAGAGACATAGGATAGCGGAGCATAATCTCAACCAAGCAAGGTTTTCAAAAAGCATATTCTTATTATTGATTCAGGAAAAGTATCAAGCAGGATTCCACATACAGGATGCAATACACATTCCTTGTACAATTTTCTTTCAGCTGATCTGGCTGTGGAGGCAACATTAAGAGGAATTAATTTTCTGTTCGTTTCGGTCTGATAAAAATCTCTTCCTACCTGAAACGGTCGTGGCCAGTGCGACGTATCTCGCGAATCATATGCGTTCCTTTGCTGGGGAATATCCTCGAATCGATCACGGAACAGCTCGGATAGATACGAACGAAAATACTCGCGGAGAATATCTCCGACAGTTGGACAACATCATTACCGCGGATTACGAACGTTCATCCCGATAGGAATAGGAATTAGGATTCTGCGTCGGTGATGTCAACGATCGTAACCTCCTCCGTTGAAGGCGCCTCTTTCGACCGATAGCAGAGCTAATGGGAAACTAGGAGTCCCTATTTCCACGGGAGTTTTACGAATGATCTCTTATTTTCTTCCGGGCTTTTCCATCGAGTCTGATAAAGTTTCTTCGAGGAAATTTGATCGGTAAATTGATTCACTCCATTTTACACAAATTCTTCACCAGTTTACCACGAGCGTGGTCGAGCGACTCTCAACGAAGGAAAACCATTCATGATTTTCACTTTTACGTTTTCCCTGTACAGCGCATTCTATAGATTCTATTTCTCGATGATTCAGAGCATTAGTCGCGTTTGGAAGCATAAGCTCGTATACAGGGTGTCCTAAAAATGTTGTAACACCTTGAAAGGGAAGGTTCGGGAGGTGTTTTGAAACAATTTTTTCCTTAGCAAAAATGTCCGAGAGAAAACTCCGACCAATCAGAGCGCGAGGCGGCCGCGCACCCCGATCAATCAGAGCGTGAGGCGACCGCGCTCCCCAACCAATCAGACCGCGAGGCGGTTGTGCTCCCCGACCAATCAGAGCACGAGAATGCCAATGAAGCGCCCGCTGATTGGTCAGTGTTTTCTGTTAATATTTTGAAAGGGCGGGTAACGGTTACCATGTGTTCGTATGATCTTACTTTACTTTCTGATGCGAAAAAGTAGTTTAGTATTTTATTATATATTATAATCCTTCCTAAAAAAAAAAGTGTACTTACAGTAAATTCTACTGTTTTTATTCTCTGGCACAAAAAGTAGTTTAGTATTTTATTATTTATTATAAACCTTTGTATGTAGAAAGGTATACTAGTGTAAATACTACAACTTATCTTATTCCACGCAATTTAAAAGTGAGTATTTCGGTTCCTACCTTAACCCATTTATAAAGTTATTCTTGATTTCTATAGAAGTATCTTTATTTTATAAATAACTTAAAGGAATTAGAATTTTGTACATCTGTATTATGTGTCATTTTTGTTGTAGATGAACGATGATACAGTTCGGGTTGCTGTACGTATTCGGCCTCTAGTGAAGACTGAAATTGAAAAAGGCTGTCAAACATGCTTAAATGTTGTTCCTGGTGAATCACAAATAGTTATACATAATACAGAAAAGGCTTTCACGTTTAATTATGTATTTCCCCCTGACATTGGCCAAGAAGACTTTTACGATACAGCCATCAAAGGGATGGTAAAACATATTTTTCAAGGTAAGGCTATATCAAAATCTTTAATTGTATTACATATCCGAATCCCATTTTCTAATAAGTATCATAATATAATTATATGGTTTCCATAGGATACAACGTAACTATATTAGCTTATGGTCAAACTGGAAGCGGTAAAACTCATTCAATGGGCACCAACTACGATGAAACAGAAGATTGTGGTGTTATACCACGTGCAGTAAATGACATATTCAATATAATTTCATCCAAGGCAGATTGGAGTTTCAGAGTCACAGTTTCGTTTATGGAACTATATCAAGAACAATTATACGATCTGTTAACTGAGAAACAGCGTAGTCAATCTGTCGTTGATATTAGAGACGATGGGAAAAATATAAAAGTTGCTGGAGTTGTGGAAAAAGAAGTGAAGAATGCAAGAGAAACATTGGAATGTTTAATGCAGGGATCTCTGGGTCGTGCAACTGGTGCTACAGCAATGAATGCCCAGAGTAGCCGCAGCCATGCCATTTTTACATTATGTATACATCAACAAAAAAAGAATGACCCTAATACAGCAACAACAGCAAAGTTCCATTTAGTAGATTTAGCTGGATCCGAGCGTAGTAAAAAGACGCAAGCAACCGGCGAGAGATTCAAGGAAGGTGTCAATATAAACAAAGGTCTATTAGCATTAGGCAATGTTATATCACAATTAGGCGACGCTGGGCCCTCGTCGTACGTTGGTTATCGAGACAGTAAACTCACCCGATTGTTACAAGACTCCCTTGGAGGTAACTCCATGACCCTGATGATAGCATGCGTTAGTCCAGCAGATTACAACTTAGACGAAACTTTGAGTACGCTAAGATACGCCGATAGAGCGCGAAAAATAAAAAATAAACCTATAATAAATCAAGATCCACAAGTTTTAGAAATAAATAGGTTGAATAAATTGGTGCAGGAATTGAAGCTTGCTTTGGTAGGTCAAGAAATTGGAATATCCTGTCCAGCTGAGCATCGAGAACTTGAAGAAAAAAATCAATATTTACGAAATAAGATAAGAGATTTAACGGAAAAACTACACGCAAATTTAATCGAAGTTGTAGTCATGCATGAAAGAGCAGAACTAGCTGAAGAAGCTAGAGAGAAAATTGAAACAGATATGGCGAAAATATTAAAAGATTGCAAAGAACTTTTAGATAATTTCGATCAAAATGTTGGTACATATACCGAACATCGCGCGCAATTAGAGGCTATATATATGGAAATTCTGAGTAAGTAGCATTATTAGTTTATTCTTATTGCTTAATATAAGTAAATTAAAAACAAAATTGTAAAAATAATACGTATGTTCTACTTTTGTTTTATCAAATAGATATTCAAAACGATCAGAAAAAAACGTCCGAGGAACTCATAAATTGTGGAATATCATCTCTCAGCTCAAAAACATTTGACGATGACGAGAATTTAAAACAGACTTCTGAAGGAGAAACGAGTCTCGAAAATCCAGACAGTTTAGACGATATCGACATGAAACAGGAAGAGCATACTCTGCTTCAAGTCAAAAGGAATAACGAAGTACAAAACATAAACAAAGAACTAGCTATTAAAGAAAGTCTTATGAGCAAATTGTTGAAAGACTCTTCTCAAATAATTGATTACTCCAAAGAAAAACAAGAAATGGAACAAGAGATAAGAGCACTCCAGGCAGAAAGAGAAGAGCTCACGCAAGCGCTGCAAAATATTCAAGCAAAAAATGTTAGCTCAAAGTAAGTAATTCAATAGTATGCGATAGTATGCGTTACGGTTTTCTAATTTATTTTGCATATTTACAGGTTGGCGGAAAGTCGTCGGAAGAAAGTACAAGAATTAGAAAAGAAGATAGGAGAACTGAGGCGCAAAGTTACGGAACAAGACAGAATAGTCAAAATGAAAGAGAAACAAGATCAACAAATAAAAAATCTATCGAACGGAATGCAGCTGTTGAAAAAAACTAGGGTTCAATTGATTAGACAAATGCGAATTGAGTCTGATAAATTCGCAAAATGGAAGGAATCTAAAGAGAAAGAAGTGAATAAGTTGAAAAATCAGAATATGAAGCAGACGAACGAAGTAACGCGTTTGAAGATGTGGCATAGTAAACAGAAATCAGTTTTCAAAAGAAAAATGGAGGAAGCTTATGCGATCAACAAAAGATTGAAGGTAACGAATTAAGAAAAGTTATTAATGTAGTAACTTTATATTAATATCTTTTTTCTTTTAGGAAGCACTCGATTTGCAAAAAAAAACAGCAATGAAGAGAGAAAAAATGAATAATAAATCGGAGAAAATTCAAAATTGGTTGCAACAAGAGTTACACATATTGGAGAGCACAGTTGATGCTGAACATACTCTTGAAAATTTGATGCATGATAGAGCATCGCTGGCTTCTATGCTAGATAAGATTCGAAATAGTAGCGATGCAAACGAGGAAAAGATTTCCGAACTTACAGACTTCATAGATCTGCGTAACACTCAAATTAGCGATCTGCAACAAAAAATAGTTGAGTCGGATCAGGGTAAGAATATCGTATGTTAAATACATAGTTTATGCGTTTATCTATTATATCGTTATTCGCAAGCAATTAACGATGATACCTCCACGTGTATTTGTCTGATTAGAAAATAGGAAGCATTCCAGATGGCAACAGATACACACAATGGATGATGCAAAAACAGCATTAAAAATATTATTTAAACATACCGCTGAGAATAGGCGAAAACTGTGCGCAAAGGAATTTGAGTACAAGGATCTTATGGTTTGTTATCTACTTTGCGTTCCATTTATTGATTTGGTTTGTTATTAATCTTAAATTAATATAATGGGAATATTAAATGTAATTTTAGGAGAAGTTCGAAGAAGTGCGAGCGACGGGAACGGAAAGGTGTTTTTCAGGACAGTCCGCTTTAAACGAAAATACAAATCGCATTGTAGAACTTAAAAACGAGGAAATCGCTAAATTAAAAGAAGAATTGGAAGAGTACAAGGAAAAATGTCAACGTCTAGAGCCAACAGTTAGTACACTCCTTTATCTTTGCTAATATCTCTTGCAATGAAAAATTCCACTTTCTTTTTTCTATGTGATAGATTTTAAGCGATAGCTTAGATAATATTAAAAAACCGAAACCTAAAGTCAAAAAACAGACATCAAAATTTGTTGGATTGGTTGAGACAAATACCTTTCCTCTGTCAGATGACAGTATTAACGAATGCGACGATATTGAGAAAGATCCAGATTGGATGCACACACCACTGTACAATCGGATACGAAAGCTTCAGGTAGTTAAAGGAATACGTAAAAATGATTACCTATGATTCTTCATTGTAAAAATATCGTCAACAATTTAATATTTATTTCTAGAATACAACTAGAAACTCTACGCTGGACCCTACAACAGTGAAACGATCATCGGACGGTGATATAAAATGTAGCTGTAACACAAAATGTTCTACGCGTATCTGCGGATGCTTTAAGAATAAGACTGTGTGCGGTAATTGTAACTGCAATCCGGAACTGTGTCAAAACAAATATACAAATAATGTGAGTTGGTAATTAAGTTTAACGATAAACTTTCTATAATAGCATTCTAATTAACAGTCTAATTAACTGTTTTTTTCAGCTCAATCGGAATTTATTCGTTGACAATGACGAAAACAAAGAAACTGATGAACTAATAAAGAAACAAAGGTATGTTTCAACAATACTTTCATTATCGCTCGTGTAATATCTACTAAAATCTCAATTTTTTCCTTCCGATAGGCTGGAGGAGTCGCATCTATAAAAGGGACGTGAATGTAGTTAATAATCTGATCAAAAAATAAAGGAAGTAATAGAGGCTCTATTTATATGAAATGAAATTTATTATATTTATATAAATTGAAAAAAGAAACAAAATATGTAAAATAGAACTGTATAAAAATATGAAAAATATGTTTGTATATAAAATGTAGTCATATATTATTACACTCCACACAGACACTTATACGTATACGTACATATAAAATGAAAATACACTATATACATATAATATACAATACATTATATGATTCATTAGTCATACATAAAATAAAAATACATTATACATAATTCATACAAGACTGAATTCGTTATTAGAAAATAATATACAATAA